TAGCCCATACGAAGAAAACTTGACTATTTCGTCACATCTTAACTTATTTACATAACCACGTGAACACACTGCAAACCGCTATAGATTATTACAAAATCTGTATTTTCAAAATGAATTTAAAAAAGAGATGGCACTGTTGAATTGTATTTTTGGATTCTGGTCTCACCTAAGAATATCGGCATTTATATAAGTAGTCGGATAATATAATAATGATGATAAGGAAAAAAAACAATATATCAAACGATTTATCCATTAGTAAATCTCAACGGCGTCTGACGCGATTAATTGCGTTATCGCGTTTTAGTTGCTGCTCATTGTCGCAGGATGGAAGCCAAAAACTAAAATGGTTTTGAAAGAAGTGACCGATTCTGTCTTTTATGCAATTATTCTGAAATTGAAGACGAATACCGTTTACTATTAATTGGAGGTTATTAGGGAAAAATACGCTCCCAGGATACTATATTACATTGCCTTCATATATTAGGTTTGTGGAATTGATGAAGATGTTTGATAGCAACATACTACAATCCATGGCAGCTTATTTGTATCATTCTTTAAAACTAAGATATGAAATTTACAAAAAACATTGAGTGACTTTGGGCCACATACCTTGAACTACAATAAAGTTCATTCGAAGAATCTCAACGGCGTTTGACACGATTAAAACATGTGACGTCAGTGGTAAAAGACGTGTTTTCAAATTAAGTTAAGTTGATATTGAATATAATCGGTACACCGTGGCAAAGTCTTCGACTACCAATATATTGCAAAAAAAAATTGTATTCTATGAACCATTGAATCATTTAAATATGTATATTTAAAGATGACAGAAATGTGGAAAGCTTGCTATCAGCATCTTTACCCCAATCAAGCGATGAAAGCATGAGATTAGATATCAGCGATGTGAGTGTACATTCTGGTTTTAGTGATCCGACTAGGTGCTGTGTTTGAAATACGTTTAATTTCATTCAGGTCGATTGTTGAGACTCCGCAAAGAAGATGTTCGCATGACTTATTCTTGATATATCTAAAGTACGGATTTTTTTTTATCTGGTTGAATCTTCAAATTATATTGTGTTTCTTCAGCTTAAACTTAAATTTCCACTTTGTATGGCCCGTGGAATACCTCTCACTGACCCCTGTATCTACCATATGTTCTTTAGATTGTTAATAGTTCATACTAAACCTTAACTAGCAAAATGCTAAAATCAAAGTTATCAAAAATGTAATGT